CAACTTCGAGACATGATCGTCGGAGGCTCGACGACTAGCCTGCATCCGTGTTGGTACGATGTAACGATGCAGGTGGCAAAGAAGCTGTTTTTCTGGTCGGCCTGTGATGCAGCCTTATAGATGCCGCGCGTGGCCCACCTGCTTGGGATTGTAGGTCCACGTTTACTCACCAGCTTAACGCCGAAGCATTCTAATAGACTGAGACATAAGATTGGGATATAAACATCGCTTGCCAAGCGTTCTTCGTATGCGCTTCTTCGACACTGCCAATTTTGTAAACTATCCGACTTTCACTTCCGTGCACACGTCCCTTCAGCCGCGATGTCCCGTGCTCGCCAGCTCAACACTCTCTGTCTCGCGAGCTCTGCGATGCTTTAGTAGGAATATGAAGAGGTCAGCGTCCTGCTCTGCATACACAATAGTGCCTATTAACCCTCGCGCTCGCGCTTAGAATGCGGCGGCTCGCTTATAACAACACTTCTTTGATCGATCTTACGACGTCAAAGAGGAAGTTCAATTGTACTGCGAAGAATTCTGCAACGTGAGTCCCGGTATATGGCTTGTACGCTCAGACCTGATCGCCCCGAAGTTTTCTGCAGTATATGCTCTCTGTGCTAATTCTCGAGTTCAGCGGCATCTATCTAGGTCTCATACGTTGGCTCTGACTACGCGATATGTCTTAGAATGGCACGATCGTGCATGCTTATAAACGGCGCAGCGTATTTATCGAGCGCTACGAAGACTTTGAGGAGACGCTGCCTCTGAATTTGCGTCGCTCAGTGCTGAAGCTGCTGTCGAGGGGCCCGACCTCTAACTCCCGCACAGCATTCGCCGACAAGAGGCAAAGGGTATTGTGATGTTGGCCTGTATCGGTAATCTCATGCCCCCACCTCAACGATCGGGAAGTTAAGGCGCGGCGAGCGATGAAGTCGTCAGTAAGTACTTATGCTAAGAGGAGCCTCCAGGTCACTTTTCTCAATACTAGCCTGCCTCTGCTCTACCCGCGAATGGACACTAACAACCTGCCTCGTTCTTCGTCTCTTCTGCCCTCTTCCTTCTCAATCTGACTCATCTCTTCGTACAATGTGATCACCGTTTTACTTCCCGCCACCAGCTGATAATTTACCTTGCCAGCTTTCCTCGCTCACCGCCTGGTACTTCCAAGTTGGGATTCTTTGGCAGCGTAATACATCCCGATTCGCACTGGACAGCATACGTGCATGTTTACATTGTGCCGGGTCAAGCTGCTAATTTAGTACTTCCATCTATGGCGGTAAATGTTGATACCCTTCAAGATGAAGCCTGAAAAAATTCCGCTCGCGCCGTATAACCGCAGCCTGACAATTTTTCTCATGCACGAAACGCGGCCAGAGGTTGGCCTACTTCGACGCCAAGCTTCTTA